CAAAGCTTTTGACTTTTAGTTTTTGTAAGTGACCGCACCAGCTTTCAGAAATACATTAGAAAGACATTTGATATTTAGAAATATACTGGGCTTCCCTGGTGGCGCAGTGGTTGAGAGTCCGCCTGCCGATGCAGGGGACACGGGTTCGTGCCCCGGTCCGGGAAGATCCCACATGCCGCCGAGTGGCTGGGCCCGTGAGCCACGGCCGCTGAGCCTGTGCGTCCGGAGCCTGTACTCCTCAACGGGAGAGGCCACAACAGTGAGAGGCCCGCGTACCGCAAAAAAAAAAAAAAAAAAAAAAAGAAATATATTAATTATGAGGATGATGTGACTTAACCATCTGGGGAATCCCTGTCTTGTTTTCCCATTAGGGTGCCCTAATGAGGTCTTCATTCAGTTTGGTCTTTCTGGTTTTCCGTTTGAGCATGTTTTGAAGGAAAGGATGGGAAATAGCAGTTCTAGAGTAAAGATTAATCCATGTCCACCCATTATCGTGTAATTATATAGTGCCTTCAGCGGGCTTTCCCTGCCTAAACGTCCACATGCAGTTTTCACTCCCTTTTTTAGAAATTCCCTTCTCCCACAGAACACTTCTCTATCCATGCTAAACACAAGCACTGTCTCCTCCTTCAAGTCCTCCTTAATTATTCCAGCTCAGATGTGCTTTTTCTTGTCTGAATACCTATAGCATTTAGAGAAAGTAAACAGTGAGGTCAGTCCAGAGTATGACTTTACTAGTAGGACCTGTGCTATCATGATCTTTTGATTCTCCACAATAAAACAGAACATTACTTGTTAATTGTACGTAAGAAGGATGCTGAGTGTTAAATCTCCTTCCTTCTCTCTTCATGATAAAAAAGAACTAGCATTTATTGGTCCTTTAAAATGTATTCAACAATGTACTCACCTTTTTCATACATAATCTCATTTAATCCTGACGGCAGTCCTGAGAGGCAAACACTTGCTTTGTTTGTACCTCACAGATGCAAAGTGGAACTGCTGCTCAGCCCAGGGCAATCAGCAAGTTCAGGATTTGAACTCAGCACTTTCTACCTTCAGAGGCCTTTCTCTCACACACCACAATATGCTTCAGAAACCTGGACCGCTTTGCTTCCTTTTTATCAGGCATCTTGTGTTATTAAGACAAACATACACACAAACAAACAAGACCACAGTTGTTAGAAGCCTATTTGGGGATTTCATGTTACATGATAAATATCTGCTTTCAGTTTCATCATGGAATCCTTATGACTGTATTCACTTGGAGGTAATGTCCAAAGTCCAAATTTAAGACCTTTTGCAAGTTGGAGGCTTGAGCGAAGTGGTGATTCCTGCTCACCTTTGACACCCCCAGTCCCCTGTGACACCCTCGGTCACTTCCACCTGGTAGCCTGGCCTGACATGTACCTCTCCCCAGACCCCCATTCGGGGTTCTCACCAGGCAGTGGGTATCTCTGTGTTTAGAAAATTAAAAGCGTTGAGACTTCTGATATATGAGTCCGGCTAAAGACTGCAAGGCCCCTGAATTTTAAGTGGATTTCCCAAACGCATTTTAGTGCTGCTTTTCTGTTAAAGTGGACCTTTTGTTCCATGCTGGGCAGTGGCGAGCAGCAGGGGAGCCAAGAAGGAGGATGAGTGTGACCCAGTAGCTCATCTACCAGGGGCCACAGTTTAGGTAGGTTTCGGTTTTGTATGGGGTGGCCTCGAATACGCTTGATTCTTTTTTCAAAGTGTCCAAGTATGGGAGTAAATAGTAAATAGACAGGGGAGAAATGAGCCCGTGGTGGGGATAAGCAGATGTCCTCCTGTGCACACCTTTGATTACCAGTACAAGGGGCTTTCCAAGACGCTCTCTGGCGAGAAAGAAGCAGGTTGTCAAGTCAACCCTTGTGGCTTCTTTACATGTCTTCACCACAGCGTTTCACTGGGTTTTAGTGCTTTATGCCAGGAGCAAATTACTCAGGCTGGGTGGGACCAATACTATGCCTGGTGCTCCAAAGCGCAGCCTGGGCTTCTTGCCTTCCCTTGGCCTGTCAGCCAGAAGCGGAAAGCCAGGCCATTCTCGGCTTTCTCTGTGGACAGAGACAAAGAGGAAGGGGTCTGCGGGTGGTACTCACAGAATGGGGAGCAAGGTGGTCTTGCTAACAGGTCAGGGAATGTGGAGACAGGGCACAGTCTATTCTCTGGAGAGGTAGGTGGGGACCAGATTATGGAGTCGAGGTACAAAGTGAATGGCTCCTGGTGGACTGTAGGCTTGTTTTGTTTGACCTAATACTGTTTGGCCTGCACCATATTTTAAATTTAAATTAGCTGTCAATTTATAAACATTAGGAAATGTCACATTAAAAAAACTGGGACACTTAGCTTTATGTAGAAACTCAGAACCTCTTATTCCTGCATCTCAGTGATGACTGATGCTGAGAAGCAGCTCCCTGTAAAGATGCAAGTGTTGGCCATTTTCCTGTAGTCCCAGCTGTTGCTCAGTGATCCCTGACACTGAGACCATGCGCCCGCTGCCATTCATCATCTCACTCCAGCTCAGTTTCCTCTTATACAGTATTTGCCTGGCGCCTGAGACATTTGACTTCATTAGGCTAGTTGTAAAAGGCATTCTGTTTTACAGAAGAATATTTGGGCTTTGTCCCCGGGCACTCAGAACTGTGGGTGATTTTGAAGCCGAGAAGGCTCAGCTGAGGTTAGGTTTGAGAGATGATGCTGGTTCCTTGCCTCGGGTCCACCCAGCTTCCAGTCCATCCTGCACCTGAGCACCAGTTGTGAAATGGACGCAGCAGGCAACACAGATGGGAAGGCCTTTTCCAGGCAAGTGGCAGGGGTCGTGGAGAGAAGAGAGATGCTGGAAGCACTTCAGAGGCAGACTTTTCAAGGCTGGGAACCAGCTGGATTGCATGGCATGTGGAGGAAAGAAAAGTGAAGAGGCTTGAGCTACTGGGCAGATGATGAAACTGCTGATGGAGAGAATGAGATCAGTGTTTGACGTGTCTGGATGAAGGGCACCAAAGCAAATTGGCTTTGCCCAGATACAGACATTTGAAAAGCAGGGCTATAGCACATAATGAATTCATTTCCTACCAAAACATGTTTCTTTGTTAGATTAGCATTTTGTTTATTAATAAATGTGTGTAATAGCTAGCTATAAATTTTATGAGTGAACCCCTTCCTAGACAGCAGGGCCTTTCACAATAGAAAATCTGTCTCATTCACTGCCATACTCCTGGTGCTTAAATAATACCCAATACATTATATGCACACAAGAAATTCTTTCTGGATCAATCAATCAATAAATTAATTAAAGGTCAATAATTAGGGAAAATTTAAAGTACCCTTGTTTTACACTCAGTTGTTATAAATTTTTGTTTACTTAAACTTTTGCCTTTATTTATTTCTGCCGCTTACCACCCCTTCCATTGTAGCCTCCGAAACGTACTCATACCTGTTCACGTATTTAAGTGGGCAAGCGCATTAGATGTATGTAGTAATGCATGTCATTTTAGATGATAACAAAGACTTCTCTGCTTTTAATCCTAAAATGACCTCTATTTTTCACTTTGACCCATTTATTATTTTTAAACACCATTAAATAAACAATAGACATTTTTAAAGCAAGTGTATACAGAGGTTTCTTTATAGAGATTCACTTGTGGTTTTTCCTTGGGGAACAAATAACTGAATGGACCATCTTCCTCGGGTGACCCTGTCGTCATGATCAGAATGCTTGGACTCGAGGATTTCTCATTCAGCTACAGCTGCTGCCGTAATTTTGGGGGGTTGGTTGAGGAAGCTTCAGCTGCTGAGATCTTTAGAAAATTTTACAAGTAATTATACAGGTTTTACTTATGATAAGTAAGTACATTCTTATTGTAAACAAAAGAAAGACATATATAATATAAAAAGCAAAGTCCCACTTCTACTCTCGTTAAGTCCATTCCTTTCCCCCAAAGTAGTCATAGCTAATTTATATAGATGTCCTTTAAAACTTTTTTCCTATGCAGTTATGGCACAAACCTGTATTTATAAAGACATTGTTCTTTTTTGTTTTTTTCATAAATTGGATTATGCCATACATGTTGCTAAATAATTTTTTAAAAGGTCACAGAACAATGCACCTTGGGGAAATCAGCACACGATGCATATGTATCTACCTAATTCTTCTGTTCACAACATGGTGCTTTGTTACATGTGTATGTTTGTTTATTTAAATGTTCTTTAATTCATGGACATTTAGCCAGCTTCTGGTTTTTCACTGCTATGAATAATGCCACAGTGAACATTTTTGCCCTTGCCTCTTTGTGAAAATATATGAGTATTTCTCTAGAAAACGTCCCTTGAATTAGAGTTGCTGGTAAAAAGATATGTACGTTTAAAATTCTGATAGATATTTCAAATTTGTTCCTTCAAAAATCTGTACCAGGCATAAAGACACAGACGTAGAGAATGGACTTGAGGACACGGGGAGGGGGAAGGGTAAGCTGAGACGAAGTGAGAGAGTGACATTGACACTACCAAATGTGAAATAGATAGCTAGTGGGAAGCAGCCGCACAGCACAGGGAGATCAGCTCAGTGCTTTGTGATCATCTAGAGGAGTGGGATAGGGAGGGTGGGAGGGAGTCGCAAGAGGGAGGGGACATAGGGATATATGTATACATAGAGCTGATTCACTTTGTTATATAGCAGAAGCTAACACAACATTGTAAAGCAATTATACTCCAATAAAGATGTTAAAAAAATAAAATAAAATAAATCTGTACCAATTTACTCTTTGGCTGGTAGGATATAAGATTAACTCTTTCCTCACTCCCTTTCCTGAACTAGATATTCCTTTTCTTAAAAAAATTATTACAAATTCTTTGGACAAGAAAATGCAGGCTCATGGTTGTTTTACATTGCATCACCGATCCCCAGGAAGTAGGGCTTTGTGGGCTGAGAGGTTGGATGACCATTGCCCCTTGTGTCTAAGTGTCTCTCTGCCATCCCATTTCAGATGCTCACTACCTCACCTGCAGGATCCAGGAATGTGCTGAGACTACTCGGAGCGGGCCTTTTGCCCGCTCCATTGACATCAGTTCCCTGGTCGTCCAGGATGAATATATCTTCATTCAGGTGAGTCCAGATGTGCAGTCAATGGTAGAGGGAGGATGCGTGGGGGAAGCCAACTGCTGGCTGGGAGGATGAGGGTGGCTCTCCAGAGGCTGTGAAGATGCGGAGCTGGGGTGCTGTCCCTCCTGTGCTTTCGGTACACGGTCCGCTGGGGAGATCCCAGACTTCTGGTGACAGATGAAGGTGTTATGGGTCCTTGTTGTTTACGGGGAACTTTAGTGGCCCACTGAATCCTTCCGTTGAATTGTCCTTTTATTATACCAAAGGGGTCTTGAAATGACCAGGACTTAGGCTGGAGTTTGAGATTACTTAGAATCAAATCTCATTAGAGATGAGTAATTAGAGATAAGTAATTTATCAAAGCCACATTCTATTTCTGTCCAAAGTGACTTATCTCATGTGGGAATGAGAATCTCCAAGAAATTAAGCATCTCTAGGATCTTCTTTCTGTGAAAATTGAGGTCTCACTAAATCTTCCCCTCCCTTTCCAGTGCTGACCACCCCCTCAAATGTCCAAGCCCCAAATCCTTCACTCCAAGAGCTCTGTGACTCCTAGAGAAACTGGGGGACTAATATTTTTAGGCAGGCAATGGAAGCCTCGTTTTAGATTTTGAGTTTCACTGAAAGGAGGTGCAAGATAGATGAAAAATGAGGGAAAACAAAAGAAGATGCTCCGTCGAGTGATGGACTTTGTGTGTGTGTGTGTGTGTATGTGTGTGTGTGTGTGTGTGTGTGTGTGTGTGTGTGTGTGTTACTGAGCTAAATCATACTTGCATTTGAGGGCAACCTTGATCCCCTGTCCTCTGCCTTTCCACCCTTCTATGGTCTGTTGTTTTCCAGACTGCTTCCTATAGGAACCTTGAACTTCAGAATCTCCCTGAGTTTGCTCAGAGCTGAAAACACCAAAGGGCTTTCTCGGCCTCACTCCTGGTCTTTTAGTCCAGATCAGCCCCATCTCCCCTATAAGACCTTCTCTGAACTTCCAGTCTGGGTACGACTCTTCCTCTGAATCTTTGGAGCTCTTACTACCTGCTGTTCCTCTAGCACATAGGCTATTAGGAATTGTTATTTAAGTCTTAATGGATTTTTCTCCTTCTTTCCAAACTGCGTTTTATACTCTCTGAGAAGAGGGACAATATTTTATACGCACATTTTACCCTGAACCTTGGCCTTTGCAAATCAAGGGTGCTCGATGTCTACTTGTTTTATTGATTGACTATGCATGTAGCGGTCACTATTTTTTACAAATCAGCTGCATGAATTTTTTTTTATTATTATTGGAGTATAATTGCTTTACAATATTGTGTTAATTTCTGCTGTAGAACAAAGTGAATCAGCCATATGTATACATATATGAAGCCTCATAGATTTTTGAGCTCTACTATGATATAGGAAAAGTAGCCAGCCAGGCAAAAACGAGCTTGAAAGAGGGAGTGAAAGAGAGATCTTTGTGCTTATATAATCACTGTTTCTCAGCCAGAATTTCAGGAATTTTTTTCTAAATCTTGACAGGTCATTGGTACTGCCATTTTCTTATTCATAAGTATTTATTGAACACATGCAATGGAAAATATACAGTACTAGGCACTACACTTGGTGTTGCCCAGCTTTCTGCCTTTGACCTTCTAATCTTTGCCCCGCCCCCTCACCCTCTGGGAGATCTCATGATTTTGAGCATCTTCTCCATGTTCTGATGACTCTCAAGTCAACGTGCTATGACCTCTATCATGTACAGTAGACCTACATATCTAACAGCCATCTCAGTATCTTCACTTAGATATTCCACAGGTTATATGTAATTGACATGTCCCCCTTGAACTTGACACATTGGTGGCACTGCCCTCTACCAGGTCATTCAAGGTAGAAACCTGGAAGCCAGTCTATGTCATCAAATTAAATGAATCCACAGCCTCTGCTAATATCACCTTATTTCTCAAGTGTCTCCTTTCATTCCCATTGTTATGGCCCCAGTTTAAGGCTTTATTGTTACTTTCTCTCTATTTAATGTTTTTAAGGTAGAAGCACAGGGATAACTTATGAATTTACCAATCTGATTGCCCTTTTCTTAATGCTAATCCTGCATAAAATGATGAACATAGCAGAACTGTTTCTGGGCAACATGACTTAGAATTTAAAATGTTCAATTTTCTTGTTTCCTTTTTCTTTGTATTGCATAAAGTTTTCCGTAACTGCAGGCAGAAATCCAGAATTTTTTTCGAACTGTTCTGAAATACTCCTTTTTAAAATAATTATTATGCTGGAAACCAATAGAAGTTTTTCTCTTTAATCCGCATCAAATTTTATTTTGTTTGAAAGAGATATGCATTGCCATTATTCAGTGAAGTTTTATTGATCCCCTACTACATTGCAGCCCCCTGTTTTAGGTGCTGGGGTTAAGATATTGAACACAACAAAATTCTTGCTTTTGTGGCATTTACATGCTAGTGGGAGACAGAAAAATATATAGGTGATATGTATACATCCATACATACATAGATATGAAAGGTTGTGAAGGGTAGTGGTCAATGACCTGTAGTCTGGAGCCTGATGGCCAGCATTTATTCCAACCTTGGTTTGCCACACTTAGCTGCATGACCTTGACCTAGGCCTCATTTGACTCATCTATAAAAAGAGGATAATTATAGTACCTACTTCATGGGTTGCTAGGAGGATTACATTTGTAATCCTGTAAAGCACCAAAACAATGTTCTGTAAATGTTGCTTTGTATCTTTTTATCTGTCTTCTACTATCATCTGTTTATCTGTCTACAAAGTATAGCAGGTGATGGCAGTGCTATGGATAAAAATAAACGAGGGGCCTTGAATGTTGGGTGCCTGTGGTTATTGCTATTTAGGATGACCTGGGAAAGCCTTGTTGGGTGATGACCAGGGAGAGAGTGACAGAAGTTCGTAGTCAGAGGGCAATGTGGAGCTAGGTCTGTTGTTCCCTGCACTTCCTTGTGCCCCTTATGCAGATGTGGGGTAGGCAGCTAGAAATTTGAGGCTGGGTTTAGAAGCAGGAATGGTGGGAAGGTAGGGGCTGGAGATATAAATGGGAAGGGTGTCCGCATATTGATATTTTTGAGCTGCAGCATTGAAGTCACCGAGGGAGTAAGTGTAGCTAGAGAAGAGAAACCATCTAAAGACTGAGCCACAGGACACTCCAATATATAGAGTTCAGGGAGATGAGGGAGGTAATAATGACACTTGGAGAATATAGAGATTACATCAGGAAGGCACAGGGTGGTAGATCCTACAGGACCTTGAAGACTGTTTAAAGATTTTTTTTTTACTATGAAAGAGATGGGAAGCAGTTGAATAGCAATGCTCCAAAAAATGCAAAAGGCCAATACTCTTGAGAGAAACATTGAATTTCATTAATCATCAAATAAACACAGATTAAATGCTGTTATTTGCAACTATCAATTGGCTACAATAGAAATAAAATAAAGGATGTCAGTGGGTTGCAGGTAAATAACTACACATACTGCGGGTGCAAATATAAGTTGGTTGCCCATCAATATTGAATCAGAGTCTTTTCATTCTCATAGGTGAGTTTGAGGATTGACTGACTGATGTGACAAATATATCTTAGTTCTGACAGTGTATGCTTAGTTTTTAGTTTTAATTGCTTCTTTTTAAGAAAAAAAATCATTATGTGGTCTGTTTTCCTTGCTTTCCTGCATATGTATTTGTTTGAGGATTTTGAATATTTGTTCTAACCAAGCTTTAATATAACTTTATACAACATAGCACATCTTCTACTTTTGTATAATCTATTGATTTCCTCTTGTGACCAATTTTAAAATTAGTGCATGTCCATGCCTTTCTATTTCTTCCCCTCTCTCTTTAATTCCTCTACCACACAGTTTTGGTTGGTTATGTTATCTCTTAGTGTTTGCTTTCCTATAATTCTGTTAGTTTAAATATTTTATTAAGCACTGCTGAAGAGAGGTAGAAAAAAAACCAGCATGTGTGTTTATGACCTCCTTCGTTCTCCCTTCTATCCAACCCCAGTTTTGTTAATTAAATCATTTGGAGCATTTATATTCTGCTTGAACCATCATTCCTGCATTTATTTTGATTTTAGTTTTAGGTAAATTTATCCAGTGGTCCTTTTACTATAGTTTTCCCATTTGTTTCTTGGTTGTCTGAAATTTGTCCTTTAGTAATGTCTTCAAGAAAGGTGAATTCCGGAATGTTGAAAATATGTTTGTTTATCCCCTTTATGCTTTAATATCATCTTTTTTTTTTTTTTTTTTTTTTTTTTTTGCGGTACGTGGGCCTCTCACTGTTGTGGCCTCTCCCGTTGCAGAGCGCAGGCTCTGGACGCGCAGGGTCAGCAGCCATGGCTCACGGGCCTAGCCGCTCCGCGGCATGTGGGATCTTCCCGGACCAGGGCACGAACCCGTGTCCCCTGCATCGGCAGGCGGACTCTCAACCACTGTGCCACCAGGGAAGCCCTAATATCATCTTTTAAGGTATAAAAGATGTCATTTTCTTTCCATAAAAACTTTGCTCCCTTAACTTATTGAATGTTACTGTGTCTGGCTAGTCTCATATTTTCCCTTTTAGGTGTCTTGATATTTTCTCGCCCTTGATACATAAAGTCCTTTAAATATATATATACATATATATATATATATATATATGTATATATATATATTCACACACACACATATATTTGAATACTATTTACTTTATTAGTGTATGTTTTGTGGTTGTTAATACTATGTTGATTCTTTTCCATGGAATATGTCTCATTCAATTGATTCAATTTCTTCTTCCTTTTTAATTTCTCAAAAGTTTCTGTGATTTATATTTTGAAATATGTATTTTATTTATTATATACGTTAGTTTTATTGTTTTGGCTCTCTTCCTTCAAGGCACTTAGGATGTGTACAACAGGCAAGAAAGACAAAGGGGAGACATCTTTTTTTTCTTCTAGTATGTTTAACTCCCTGAGCAAAATGAAATTTATAAAAACAGTTTTACTCATACTG